GTCCTAGGTGTGTGGGTGCAACCGTGTGGGTTGGCGACCTTGTGCTTGGCTTGAGAGTGTGTCTCAAGGCTTGGAGCCTCAAGAATCCACTAGGGAGAGTAGAGGTCTTGTGAGAGGAGTTGGTGAACTCCGTAGGTTCGGCTTGAGAGTATTCTCAGAGCTTGGAGCAGTGTAGGCACTAGGAAGATTTTTGATATCTTGTTTGATTGCATGTGTGACGCGTGTTTGTAAAACAGGTTCACTTGTGATAAATAAAATCTCTAAAATTAATGCACAAAGGAGCTTGAATATTACACAATTAATTTTCTAATCAATAGACACCAAGAAATCTGATTTAAAAAAAATATCACAATTATAACCAGAAAAATCAGATTTGAAATTTATCTCAAAATTTCACATAAAATTCAGAATTAGTTCTAGATAAATCTTTTAATAATAAACCACAAGAAATCTGAATTTTAATTACAATATACTTCAATTAAAACAGAAAATTCAGATTTAATATTCCAACAATAAAATTTCTAGAACAATTCAAGATTAGGTTTCTAAACAATAAATCCCAAACAAAAATCTGAATTAACACAATGTATAACAAGGTGTAAAAATAAATTCAGATTTAATATTTTTAATCAATATTTCACAAAAATTAGAAACACTGATCTTACACAAAGAGCATCAAGATTTTTAAAATATTCACTTAAAATCAAAACAGGAAAATCAAGATGCAAAGATCAGATTCCAAATTTTAACAGTAAAATTTTATACTAATGAACAACTCAAGAATTTAATATTCAGATTAAACAACTCAAAATCCCTAAAGCATATGAAATAACAGATCTGAAAATTTCAGATAAAATGCTTCAAACAAAGATTCACAAAGGATTCGAGTTGATTAGAAAATACCACAATAAAGACCTAAATTCTTTATCAAAGATCCCCAAATTCTTCTCCAAGAAAATATGTAGCCACAAAAAAATTGAAGAGTAACCGCAAGACAGAGGAAGCGAGTAAAAGTCGAAGAAGAAGAGGCTCTGTAAGTTGTTTCCAAAAAGATGAATGAGCGTTGTTTTCAGCGTGAAGAACCGAGAGAAAGAGAGAACGCTTTTTTTTTTTCGCAAGAAGTCTGTGTGTTTGTTTCTAATAATCCTTCTATGCTTCCTATTATTATATGGGTTTTATGTTTATCATTTAACATAATATAACTTTACTTTCCTACACACACATTAAAGAGGTGGGGTCCACATATTTTTCTTTCTCTTTCATCATTCCACTTTCTCTCTCCCTTTTGATGTGAGAGTTGAAAACAACACTTACATTATGTTACATAACACTAATAAAACCCTTATTAAATAGTATATAATATTCAAAAGAAAGCTGAACTTTGGAAAAAGCCAATGACCTGATAGCTATTAACTTTCCTTTTCTTTATTCAATGGTTATTAACTATTATATTATTTTTAAAAGAACAAACATGATTACATTTCTAATTGAAATCTAAAACCCACACGTAAGTTTTTCTTTTATTTCAAAACCAACGACCTGTAGCTTTTTTTTTTATTGATTTAGTTTTATTATATTTTTAAAACATATTTTTATCAAAATCAAAATCATTATTATAAAATTATAAAATTAGCATGATATGCAATAATATGTATTGACATGCAATGGAGCTTAGGTAGATACTATATGATATAATTTTATGTGTAACAAAATTCTAAAAATACCTAACTACATGTATCTTCAAACTCCCTCTTCAATTTGAGACTTCTTGTAAACCCTTTGTCATTATCAAAATATTTATTCCATTATGCTTAAGAGGTCTTCAATCTCCCCCTTTTTGATGATGGTAATTTAAACTCAAATTGAAACAAGTAAGGGTTAGTAGCATAAGATATTAAAATCATGTAATCACATACTCCCCCTAAACATATGCATACTAAGAATTATCATGCTAATCAAAAGTAAGGCATACATATGTTCTCAAGACTTCTCAAAACTTCCCCTCAAAATATGCATAAGCTCATAAGCTCAATTTGATGATATTCATATTTTCTCCCTCTTCGACATGATCAAAATCAATTATAGCATATAATAAGGATTAAAGATGGATAAGACATATAACAAACATATCATATATCCAAAAATTACCCATGTCTTGTACCAAGTATTGATTCTTTGCAATTTTTGGGCTTAGTCTAAGAGGTTCTTCAATTTACCAATATCTTCAATGTAATCTTCATGTTTTCATTCATTTCCATTTTCTTTCAAACACCTACAACATAATCTTTCACACTTGCCTTTCTAGGCACATTAGCAAGATCAAGCATTTATCAAATAGTACAAGTATGAATAATAGGCATTATATGAAAGATAACTCATTCATGATTGCTAATAGGCATTATTTGTGAAAGATACATTGAAATAGGCTTGTTGTCCTATTTTGATAGAATTGAATATAAGAGTAAAATAGTGGACTATTCAAGTACATACGTAGTGCATAAAGTAAGCTTTCTATCCACATATAGATCATTTATATTGAACATGTATAACATAAGATGTGTTAAAAATAGTCTATGCATGTCATATTAAACACCAAACAACAACTAGACATCATGTGCAAAAAGATTTATAAAATAAAAACAGTCCATGGCACATGATGCATACATGCTCACTAAGTTTTCTTAGGAACATATATCATGTTCTTAACCTTGGGGCTAAAGAACATGCTAGATGTATTAGGTTGAGGTCTATAAGATGTTGAAGCAATGTTGCCCACATCCATAGTCCTCTTAGGAACCCACTTAAGATTTGTTCCTTTTAGGCCATATTTCTTAATATTGCATTGATATACAAGATGACCACTCATGCAACAATATGTACATTTCTTAAATGGTAGTTTAGACATGAACCTAGGAGGATATTGATTTGTCTTTCTTGGTTAAGCAAAGGGAGGTTTTTGAAAACCAAGTCAAAATTCTGTATTGGTTGTTAAAGTGGAGTAGTTGCGTGCTGTAAAATCTGTCCTAGGTGTGTGGGTGCAACCGTGTGGGTTGGCGAACTTGTGCTTGGCTTGAGAGTGTGTCTCAAGGCTTGGAGCCTCAAAAATCCACTAGGGAGAGTGGAGGTCTTGTGAGAGGAGTTGGTGAACTCCGTAGGTTCGGCTTGAGAGTATTCTCAGAGCTTGGAGCAGTGTAGGCACTAGGAAGATTTTTGATATCTTGTTTGATTGCATGTGTGACGCGTGTTTGTAAAACAGGTTCACTTGTGATAAATAAAATATCTGCATCTACTTCATTCTGGACGTAGCACCCTACTTAGACTTAGTAGGTGTGAACCAGGATATATCGTGTGTCCATTGTCTCTCTGATTTAATTTCTGAATATTTTGTTTAAGAAAATTACATTGCTGCGTTTATACTCTATAAATTGCTAAGGTACGCATTCTGTTACTACATTGTTCTTAGCATTGTGACAAATTATTTTGGACATATAGGGACTGAAGAAAAATTGTAAAATTGTTTACTGAATTTAAAAAGATTTTGAAAAAGTTTAGAACACCTATTCACCCCCCCTCTAGGTGTTCTGTAAGCGTCCTGTGCAAGAAGCCACTTGCCCAACACAATCCAATACCTATTACTTGCAACACAAGCAACTCATCACTTATATATGTCAAATTTTTGAAATTGACAAAGGTTGTCCAAATGGTGATCTACACATTTTTTCACCATTTATTTTTCAATCCTTATCATACTTTCCAACTACAACCAAGGCTAAATCAAAGTTGAACACCATCAACTAACATCTCATATTCATAGGAGTCTAGGTTATCAAAACCATCATAAAACTTGATCAAATATAGCATTACTCACCACAGAGCTTCCTAGAACGCTTGTAAGAGTATTTTCCAAGCTTAGAACAAGATCAACGAACACTCCAAGCTCCTTAAACACCAACGGCAACGCTACTTTTCCTTGGAGATAACTCTCCACACAACCTTTCAAAGAGTTTTGAATTATAGGTTTTGCTCACAAGGTAATTCTAAACCTCATTCATGTTCAAGCTTTCTTGATTTAATGGCTAACTAAGAAGTTGCAAATCAAAACTATTATGACAATGGAGTTCGGCCTTAGGAGAAGAAGAAGCATGACGATGGAGAAGAAAATGAGCACCTGTCTTAACTTAGAAGATATTTAGTTCGCTAAGCAACCTTTTTTAATAGTCAACATTCTTTTATATGATACGTTCTATGTCCCTTCTTAAATTTTAATCCAAAGACATACTTTAATTTATCTAACGTGATTTTAGACTTTCTCTAAAATCATTTAATAATATCTCACTATATTATTTTTAAGTTTTGGATAACTTTTGTATAATTATATTTTTGTCCCAAAACTTTCACTATTTGCAGTTATGTCCAAAAGTAACTTTAATTCTTCTAATTAAATTTCACATTTAATTTATTCTTCTAATCCATGATTAATTCCCTTAATCAAGTCATAATTCTATAATTTAGTTAAGGTTATTATTGGCTCCACACACTTTTATGTGTGTGGGGAGATGAATTTATTTTCTACAACACGAGAAACATTAATTTTTATGTATTAAATATTAATAATCCATCCAATTCCACAATTATAATAAATAAATAAATAATACAAGATATCAAATTAATAAAAAAGAATACTTTTTCGACTATATATATATATATATATATATAGGGATCTGAATAATAAGAAAGGAAGAGAAGAAGCAGGTGGGAAGATGTGTGTCACTGTTTAACAATTAATTCAGGAAGAAGATGGAGGGAAAGAAGGAAAATGGATGAATTGACTTACTACCACTACCCTTACCCACACGGGTCATACCCATACCCAACATCTACGTTTTATGTCGACTCTCCGAGTTTTACTCAACACACACTGAACCCACGCGCTTTAATCTCTCACTACTTAATTAAGGTTTCACACCTGTTCATTCGTATTCGCATTCGTTAAGGTTTCTGTTCCAATTGAACTGAACAAAGAAAAAAGATGTTGCAGCTTTTATATGCGGTGATATTTGGGGAAATGTTAATGATTGTGAGCTTTCTGTTCAAGACTCCGCTCAGGAAACTCGTCATCGTTTTATTGGGTCGGGTCAAGCGAGGTCGGGGACCCGTCGTCGTGAAGACCGTCGCCGCCACATTGCTGGTGGTGCTCGCTTCCTCCTTCTACACCATCATCAAGATTAAGGGTCGCACCCTTGAACTTGGTATTGTCAACCCCACCGACCAAGTCCTCATGTCCAAGCACATGCTCGAAGCTTCTCTTTTGGGTAATCTAACTTTCTTTGTTATTATTTCTATTTTTCTTGTCTCTGTGTTATGTTTTCGAACTATATATCTGAAAATTGAATTGATTGTGAATGTTGTATCGTTTTTTTGTTTCCTGTGAATAGATTTAAAGGGAATACCAAACACTTTTCATTTTACATTTTCCTCCTTTATGGAAAACTTGATATTGGCTTCTAGCCTTGTTTTATTTCATCATGTTGATGCCTAGCTTCATTGTCATTGTTTTGTTTCCTTGAATTAAAACCATGATGGTTTGTCTTCTGTGGATTATGCTAATTGATTTTAAGTTTTTTTTTTTTTTTTTTTTTACTTTAACAATAGTTGTCAATGTTATAAAAAAGGGAAAAATAAAGTTATCTACGGTGATCTCAAAACGACGTCGTTTTTGGGTTACAAGATTAAAAAATTATAATGATAAAAATTAATATAACCTTTCAATATATTATAATTACAAAAATATCTTGATTTCCGTTCCAGAATGATGTCGTTTTGAGTGCACTGGAGATAACTTATGGAGAAATTCTTTACCCTATAAAAAATGGTTTCAATTCTCTTCTTAAATGCAAGGTTATTATAGACTCATACAATGGGTCTTGTGAGCTTTATATAAAAAGGGAATGTATTTTTTTTTGTAGTAATTTCAGTTTCATTACTTTTAATACATTCTTTCTTTTATTTTAGTTGTTGAATTTGATTTCTGACATGTCATGTGGACAGGGTTTGTTCTGTTCCTGTCTCTGATGATAGATAGATTGCACCATTACATTAGAGAGCTTCGGTTGCTCAGGAAGAACTTGGAGGCTGATAAGAAACGAAGTCTAAGTTTTGAGGACGGTAAAAATGGCCGTGCAGAGGAGCACAAGGCATTGATAGAAGAAATAGCCACATTGAAGCCCAAAGTTAAGAAACTGGAATCTGAAAGTGAGGTGAAAGGAAGCAAGGCTAAGGCTTTGGAAGCTGAGGTGGAGGCTCTTAAAAAGCAATATGAGGGGTTCCATATGGAATATGAACGCCTCTTGGCAGATAATCAGAATCTGCAAAGTCAGTTGGAGGCTAAGTACTAATTACCAGAGCTTTTCCCATCTTGATAACAAAAAGAGAATGTGAAGGTTCCTATATCTAGCAAAGCAATTTTCTCACTTTCATTCAGCTGCTTCTGTTTGAGGGTATACATGTTTGCACTAGAGAACTATGTCACAGTTGGATAGATATATTTTAAGTTCATAAAGAGGAAAGAGATGTTATGCGGATTGAGTGAGTTGACTATGCTTAAAGCAGCTGATATAATAGGATAGTGGATAGGGGTTGATAGTATAGAAGAGCTTATAAGCTCTAATGAAATATTTGGTTATTATCTTATAAATAGACTGATTGTATATTCAATTATTATTTTTCTTTTTAAATAGAAAATAAATCTCTGATTTTTTCTCTCTAGATTCTGTCACTTGAAATCAATCAATGTAAACAGAAATTAATCAATCTGATGGTGAGATCAGAAGTGAACTAATTTTTAAGATTTTTTCACTTGAGAGAGTTTCAAATCTTAATACCAAACAGAGTAGAAAACTTGATTGCCAGTATTCCGGTCTCCATGGCGTTCTTCATCAGTGCCTTATCTCTCGATGATGGCCAGAAGTAAGTTTTAATATATGTAAGAGAAAGTTCCAAAGAGAGAGTATTTCTTTTGTCTCTTCTTGGTCATGATTCTAACAAAAAATACCGTTAAAAATGGTACGTTGCCCAAAATCCTTTGCAAAAATATTTCCATACTGAAGGACAAATCAAACTTCAACCCAAAACATGGATTAACATCAATCTCAATCAAAAATTTAAAACTAAAAGGTTATGGGGTTGTTTGCACTTATATGATTCTCATTTAATTTATGTCTAACCAATGTGCAACTCACACTAGTGGCGTAGCCACGTAGTGCATAGATGGGCCTGCCCCTGCTGAATTTTTTTTAAAATTATTATTCATTTAATAGCCTATTGTTTTGATATACGTTTAGGCTATTTGTAACGTTAAATGTGATATATAATGAGAATTTTTGATATATAACATTAAATAGTGAGAGTTTTTAAAAGAATACGTTAGATGTATTAGGCTATTTGCTTTGATATATAATAGTTGCCTATTGTTTATTTAAATTTTCAATATTATGTGATATTATTTAGTAAATAATTTAGATAAATATATTAGAATTCATGATAATTTTTTTTCCTAATAGTTTTGATAATTTGATGTGTCAAATTTTTTGGCTCCAGCTGAAATGAAATATTGTCTCCGTCGCTGACTCGCTCACACTCAATTCTCATAGGCTTGTTTCCAAAAAAAAAATTCTCATAGGCTACGGCCACATATTTAGATTTTCTTGTATGAACTATATTATATACGAGAGAGTTACCCTATTATAAGAAGATAAAAAAAATGCTTAACCGGATTTGAATACGCTATCATGTGTCAGGGCTAAACATATGTTAGGACTTGAAATTGAAGCTCCAAATGCAGCCTTAAATGTATAATTAATTTTGAACATCAGGTAATCCAGGTAAAGTACAGAATCTAGTCAAGTTTCAACTTCAATTTTTTAATTGGAGTGCTTTTTTATTTTATGTTTAGGGAACAAACAATTAGAAATTAAACAAAGTAACATTCAAGGTATGTGCTTATATAGCTTAAGATGGATTTGAGATTAAATTCATAGTTGCATACGCCTAATTAATTAGTGAACTTGGCGCATGAGGCTTAACGTTCATGTTAGATCAGAAGGGATGTTACAATAAAATAACGGTACAGGTCCATTGTATATTTGGACTCAATTTAATTCCAGCCCTTCATAATTTATTTATTTTTTTCAAAAAATTTAAACTAATTAGTGTTTGACTGGGCATCTATTTTTTTTTTTTATGGCTATTAGTCTACAATGTTCAACCATACTTGAATCAGATTCTACCTGTTCTTCCCCCACCTATTTCTACGTGCGGTTCAAATTTGTGTAACCTTTCAAGCAGCGAGTCCTATCAGGCAACTAGACCTATAATTCCCATATCCATATCCAATTATCCATAATAGAGTATGTGAGCACCAATACTAAAGTGAATTTAGAAAATAATTAAGCATGAGATGATTTGTGTGGATGGGCTTAAAAGAGCAAACAGCAAAGACAAATTATAATTCTGAATTCCGAGGCCAAAGTAGCATAGATGCTTCAGAAGAATGGCATAAGCCTTTAGGGGGGAATTGTGGATGGGCTTTAAAAGTAGTGCAAGTTTCTTTTCTTTTTTAAATTTTTTACCGATTCATTGATTAATCGATTAATCCGGTCAAATCGAACACGATTACAACTGCAATAAAATTTTTACTATCAAATTTTAACTACGTATGTAGAACACGAAGTCGAGGTTAAGCTGGAAAAACCTCCTAAGGTGGTGTTTGGTTGGAGCTTTTTGTGAGGATATTTAGGTATATGAGATTGAGTTTTTGTGTTATTCATGTTTGGTAAAAAAAATTACAAAATTTTCCTAGCTAACTTGGTTCCCCGTCATTTCATAATTGTGTGTAAAAATAGATGAAAAACATTGTTCAACTTACCCACTTCTAACATGGTATTTGGAAGAAAGTTTCTACCAATTATATTTCTCTAGTATTCAAAAAATTTCTCCTCAACCAAACGCTCCGTAACAGTTGACCCATACAGTAATGCAAATAATGAACTCGAATTTTAAATGAAGCTATTGCCTCGATTTACAAAAGTTACTTTGCAATTTTGCAAGAGGGGCCTACATCAGCATCTATTCTCTGACCAGTAGAAGATCAAAGAGTTTGATTTATATTTGGGTTACTAGCCTCTGGATTCTAATATTCATCATATAAGATAACACAACCTAGCGGGGGTTGACCAAATTTCACGACTCCAAAGTGTTTCAATTTGTCCTCTGTGATCTATTAGTATTTATCTTGATGTCTTGGATTTGACTGAAACCCACCTAACGTAATATTTGCCGCATATTCGCTTTGCTTTTAAAACTGTGACCTGTTTTATTATACATGTTTGGTACAGCAAAGTAGAATTTCATCAGTAGATTTACCTTAGGGTTTTGGAATTTCAATTCTGGACCTACCAAATACCATGGACAGATAAATAGTAGGCAAAATAGATGGCAGAACCATCAAGAGAGATAGAGAGAGAGAGAGAGAAAAGTGAGAGACATTGCACTAACCTTGTTCCCTATGCTTCATGTCCATTGGAATCAACCAACATTATTAAAGAATTTACGAGAGGTTGAGAGTTTACAACTGAGGTAACCACTTGGGACCTGTCCTCCCCTCCATGTTCTATTTCTCTGGCTTTTTGTCTTATTGAATTTACCTACTTAACCAAATAAAAACAAAAAAGGTTCAATTTTACAAGGGGTCAAGCCAATTAAGCCCAAAATACCCACCAAACATAAATTGAGTTATGCCATAGGACATGAACTGCAACACTGACATCTAATGGCATTTTGAGAGAGTTAAAAAAAAAAAAAAAAAAACTGAAATAATTGAATTATAAACAATCTAATGTTGAAGTTAGCAGCATCTCAGTAATGCCTCTCTCAAAATTGAGACTATTAACTACAACACTAACATCCTTACATTTGTAATCCTCACAAAAACAACAACTAATTTTACTTCTAATATTGCTTTTCTCCAACTCATCCAAATCCAACCCATTATTACAAGTTGAAGATATTTCATTGTCTCTAGTAGTGATCCAATTCTCATCATCCCATGTCCAATTGGGATCCCCTGAACACACAGCAAGGCTTCTGATCCTACCAGCAGGAGAATTCTCAGAACTCATCTTAACCAAATTGCCATTGAACCATTCTGGCTCTTCCACAGAATTCCAAAAGCCATGCTCAAGAATGCTTGTTGGTGAGCCTGAATTAGAACCCTGAATTTGCTTAACATTGAAATTGAATTCCCCAAGAAATGGATGCTTCAACAGTTGACTAGCAGTCAACCTCTCCATTGGATTCCTCCTAAAACACTTCCCCAAGAAATCCTTTGCTTCCTCAGACAGAAAACCAGGAATCTCAGGTAACTCATCAGAATATGCAACACGGTACATCACTGAAACAGGGTCTTCAACATTAGGCCACGGTCCAAAACCAGTGGCCATTTCAACCACTGTGCACCCAAGTGACCAAACATCACAAGGGTACCCTTGTTCTTCCCCACGCGCCACCTCCGGTGCCATGAACATCGGCGTGCCGCTGATCGGCGCCGCCGCCGTATCAGCCACACGCTTGGCACATCCAAAGTCACCAATCTTGGCTCCATCTTCACCAATCAATATATTGCTACCCTTAATGTCACAATGCACAACACCATTTGAATGCAAGTATTCTAGCCCCTGCAAAACTTGCCGTGTGTAGTGTGCGATCACCGGCTCCTTGAGCCGGCGGCGAGCTGCCTGAGAGAGCGTGCCAGAGGGCATGTACTCCATGAAGAGGTTGTAAAAGAGCTTGTTGTTTTCCTTCGTTATGTCACAACCTTTATAGGTAACTATGTAAGGAGAGGATAGAGAAGACAAGATTCTCTGTTCTCTCTGTAGTTGTTCTAACCGTGATAGTGATGATAGCTCAGCTGACTTGACGGCGGAGACATCGGAGGAGTAGGAAGAGGTGGCGAGGTAGACGGTGGCTGATGAGCCATGTCCTATGATGAAGCCTCTGTTCCACTCCATGTTTTTTTTTTGTTTTTTTAAAGGCTCTGCTGCAGAGTGCATAGTCTTTGGTTTGTTATTGCTGCCTTTATATAATAAGAACGGACATGCTTTGAGTTTGAGTTTAAGAGGGTTGGTTTACTTAATTAGTTGAAGCTTTCTCTCTCTATTTCTAGAGGGAGTATCCCTTCGATGGTTTGGTACTACTGTTGTATCAAAGATTCAGTGCATCCCACCAATGAAAATATTACATGTGAGCTAAAATACTTTTTTCTGTCAAATTTTTTCTCTCTCATCTGATGTGTAAGGCTCTCATTCATGGGATGCACTGAATCTAGGTACAACAGTAGTACCAAAGATTTATTCCTTCAATGAAATAAATTTTAGGTGCATGCACCTAGATTCAATGTATCCCACCAATGAAAATATTACACATTAGAGGAGAGAGAAAAAAAATTTAACAGAGGAGAGAGAATTTTGGCTGACGTGTAATGCTTCCATTAATGGTATGCACTGAATCTTTGGTGCAACAGTTGAACCAAAGATTTATTCCTTCGATGAGTGTTTATGATGTGTCCAAATTTGGGTGGTTGTGGCTGCTTAGGAATAAATCTTTGATATATCTGTTGCACCTAGATTCAGTATATCCTACCAGTGAAAACATTACACGTCAGAGGATTGAGAAAGAATTTGACACGAGAAATTTTTTTGACTGATATGTAACATTTTTATTGATGGAATGCACTGAATTTTTGATACAACAATAATACCAAATATTTATTGGGGTGATTAGTGGGCAAATGGCTTGGTAAGTGGCACGTGGTCAAGTTTTAAGCATTAAGTCTTTGAGTGTGTTAAGAGTGAATTGATTTTTGGATTTGGATTTAGTTTGGTTAAGTGAAGGGTTATAGAGGTTAATAGTTTGGGTTAGGTAGATTAGAGAGGGAGTTAAGAGGGGATTCCTTGTTTTGTATCTTACAAAACCTAGACTTTGAAAAAAGGAACATGGGGGGCTATAGGGGAAAGGTAAATGGGGTGGGTTGAGCAACCAAAATGGTTGAAGTTTAGTATCTTCTTCTTTAATTAATTTTTTTTCAATTATATTGGTCAGATATTATGGAAGATGTTTGAATTTAATAATGGTAATGTGAACATATAAACTCGACAAATTACAAGTCTATAGGTGAGGAAAAGTACTAGTCATATAGTGCATGAGTTTTGATAGAAGTCAAAAACCAGAAAGAGAAAGATTCGTCGCTTTGCCCTGTTCTATGTAATTTATGTTTTTTATTTGCCATGCCTTATGATTAGTTAATTGCTATTTTTTCCCCCCCAAAACAAGCAATAGCCTTTTGTTGAGATGGACTTAATCAAAGAGTTACATATATTTTCATGGTTGTTTACCCGTTGTTAACAGAATAACATAATCCTTTCTGTTTATCATAAACTACAAATTAATAAATAAGTGCCTATTTGACCCTATATTTGAATAAATTTATCTCTATCCATAAATCATTTTATTTCAATGGTCCGAAATTGCAACTCTTTAATTAAGAAGCTTCACAACAATATCTTGTAATGTAATGTGATTGGTAAAGCACAAAATGTCTTTCGAAACTGCAGTATCAATCGATGTTGGATTGGGGATGATATTTTTCGTGTGGGGAATGAATATTTGCAGCTTTAAAAAAGTAAAAGAGGGAAACATATATGAACTTCATTAAAAGCTTAGAGTACTCGAAGAATTTGGATTGGTCAATTTGATAAAGAGCAACAGCTCCCTTGTACTTGTGAAATTAACACCATTTCCATTTCATTGATTTGTCATGATTATTTGTTCATGAAAAAGTGCAACGTACTTTAATCCAATGAGTTGTTACTACTTACTAGTACCCAGAAAATTTAACCCAATTGTCATTTTACAGCATGCCTACTTCTAGAAGCTAGATTGCAATACGGATTCGTCAGTCCAAAAACAACCCTCATGATGGGTGGTTATAAATATAATCTCCAAAGTAAAGTAATCTTGATAATTTTAGAGTGACACAAAGAGTAGAATGAAGTACCTTCACTTTTTCCTTTTTTGGTTTTTCTTTTCAATAAACACCCTCATTTTTTATTTTATTTTTGAAGTATGAATTATCTATCATACCTGATTTTGCTTTACTAATCAATTATATTTATGGTCAAAAAATATCATTTCAAAAACAATCCAAAATCATTTCAAGGCAGGTATTCTTTTGACATTCATTAACACTCTTTAGCTTCACGAAATATATCATTAAGTGAGTGAACTTTCATGGTTTGGAAACACAGGTGTCCAACCTTAAGCGTGAAATTAACGTTAAGTCTCACTCATCTGCATAACGATACATGAGAAAATACATGGATATGCATGCTAACATGGTAAACACACCCAAACTAAATTAATTCGTAATTAACACACTTAATTTAGCAATTAGCATGTATTATTATAAAATGGGGTTTGGTCATTTGGTTTGGTGGTGTGAAATAGAAGCTAAAGGGCGTAACCACTAAAAAAGTGCTTATAGGTTGAAACTGAAAATCAGAGGAAATAATCAGGTGGGAGTGGGAGGTTGGAATAGGGAATGGACATTTATGTGTTATTTATTTACGCAGCAAAAACATAAAGCCAAATAAATTCTCTACAATTACCCAATAACTGTCCAACTAGCTGTTTTCTGTCAAGTTACTTCAGTTAGTTGGAACAGGTGCAACTTTCTTAAATTGACTATTTAGCCTAATCAAAAGTTTTTTAATTAAAAAAATTAGGATGAGATATTATGTTTATTTTACTTACTTCTTTCCAACATCGTTAAATTATAATTTCAATCAATATTATTAAAATCGGCCCGGTCATTGACCCGGTCGAGACACTAGGTCATTGGGTCATTGGTTCAACCAGTGGATCACTAGTTCAACCAGTGACCTGGTAATTATATGCAATTTTATAATTTATATTAAAAATTATAAACATATTCAAATATCTAAAAAAAATGATAAAATTTTCAAATATTTTAATATAAAAATAATAAATAACATATTATTATCTAATAAAAGATCAAACAAAAATTCAATGATCGTGATACAGGACTTTAGGTTCAGAAAAGAACATCTCTAACTATAAATTAATTCAAAATTGTCTGCATAGTACATGATTGAGATAATATTAATGTTGTAAGTACATAACTTATGTAAGTCAATAAGCGAAAAAATATTCAAAATGTTCATTATGATTTTTTTAAATAAAATTTTGGATTTTTTTTTTTGCGACCGAGCCGGGTCACCGGTTTTTATGAAAATCGACCGGATCGCACCGGTTTTGATGCATGGCCAGTCCGTTGCTTCTACCGGACCGATTATATGACCGATTTACCGGTTCCCGGGTCGACCCAGCCGAGTCGATCCGATTTTAATAACACTAATTTCAATAGTAGAGAAAAATGATCTAAGTCGGTTAATATTTTAATCTAGATGTGTTGCAGAGTAATAAGTAAAATAGACATAAAAGAAAATTAGTCATTTGAACATTATTGAAAAAAATTTAAATTCTTTTAACGACATATAATTGAATGATAACAAAAATTTAACTTTTATTTTTCAAAAGATACTGAATTAATAAACTGCAAATAAGAATGACGTGAGTGGGAAGGTAGAATGGTTTTAGTGAGGAAAAATGCTTCGATCACACGCAAGTCACGTGGTCCTGTTTTCTTCCTTGTTCTTTTCTGTGTATGAAAAGGATTTTCGCGTAACAAAAGTGGGGCCAATCTGAACACGTGGAAGAGAAAACACGTGTGAATTGAGAAAATAAACAGCACGTTTTATATGTGAGGACCCGAACGCCCCATGTGTCTACGCCGTAAGCAGCTTGAATAAAAATTTGAATTTGATGTTATATTTAACTTTAATAAGGAAGAAAAATGAGAGTTTAAAAGGAAAAAAATAAATACTTCTCATTACATAATTTGATTAACCGGTGGATAAATCCAAAAATAAAAAGCTTTGATGAGAATAATTTGAATATAAAAAAAAACAAACAAACATAGATAATGGCATTGTTTTGGTTAGAAGTTTGAACATGGTTGCTTTGTTTGTGAAACACAAAAAAGGTAAAAAAAAATAAAAAAAAATGGGCAACTTTGCTCTCCTTCAATGATGGACGACAAGTAAAATGTGCAGTAGAAGAATTGAATGACGTTTCATGTTTGCTTTGACGTTCCGTTATGGTGTGGTGGTGCCAAGTGCGGCTATTAAACAAGATCAAATTCAAAGGAAAAGTTCCTCCATTTGTCCCTTCTTCAGTGGTGATGGACTTATTATAGTTGCTTCAAAGTGGTAATTATGTCTCTCTCTTTCTCTCTCTCACACACAAAGTAAAGTGGAATGATTAAAAAAAAAGTACAAATAGATCAACGTGCCTTCATCGCTTTCTCTCTATCTATCCATTTCAAAAAGAAAAACTATTAGCAAACTTGGCGGCAGCTAAAGATAGCATTATTTGTTGCACAACGTTTGCTAGTACTTTCTTCTTCTCTCATATCTATTGGTACAAAGAGATCAAATTAAAATATGAGTGTACAGGAATTTTAAGAAAATTAACTGTCATCAAATGACTAGGGGCTTGTTCATTTGTTTTTTTTTATTTTAGAAGAAAAGGTACTTTTTTTAATTTAAATATATGAAGGGATTATACTGACAAATTTTTTTTCTTACAAATTTACAAACTACACTAATTATGACTAGTCAGATTTTAATCAAGAGTATATGACCATTCAGACTTAATATAGTTTGTAAGAAATTTTTTTTATCAATATAACATTTCCCTTAAACATATGTTAAAAAGAGAAAAGAAACATAATAAAATAAGATTTAATAAAATAAGATACAGATTAATACAGTGGTGGAGGGTTAGACTTGTTTTTTTTTTTTTAATGTTCTAAATTATTCATTTTTAGTCTTTTTCCCGTATATTTTCCATTATTTCTTTCTTTACCTTTTTTCCCTTTCCTTTCTTCTTTTCTTTTACTTCTCATTCTCCTCTCAATTTTTTTTTCTCTTATTTATTTATGTTTTTCTTCTTCTTTTTTCTATATTTATCTCCATTTCTTTAATTTTTTTACTTTCTTATTCTTATTCTTTTTTTTCCTCTAATGTATCTTTAATTTTACTTTATTTTTATTTTTAATTATTTATTGCTATTTTTTAATGTCTAGTGTTATTTATATATTTTTTTATCCTCTTTTTCTCAATTATTTGTCCTTCCAATAGTTAAACATCTTTCTGGGATCCTACGTAGAAAAGTGTCCTAGACACTAAGTTATTTGGTCCGCAAGCGTGCCAAACCGACCACATCCTATATCTACTTTGACATTCTCTTTATCCTTCCAATGGTTCAACAGTTTTTCTGAATCCTACAAAGAACGTTGTCAGTTGAGCCTCATAAATTAAACGACCTTCTAATATGTGACAAATGGATCACATCCATGTCCAAAAAAAAATTATAAAGCATGATAAATACTAGATACTACCCAAGCTTAATCATTAACTTGTGTATCTTTAGGCTGCAATTTGTGCAAAGGTGATTAAAAGGAGGAATGGGAGTTTTGAAAGTTTAGTGGAGGTTACAACTTAGAACCATGCACTGAGCTCTTAATACCTTTGTTTAAAGTCACCGTGGAGGTTTCACCATCACATTATTTAAATCCTATTAAAATGACCTTTTTAAAGTCACCAACCATGATCTCCTAGACCTATATTGCATCGACACCAACACGGGACACGAGATACAACACGACACGACACTCCGACACATTAATTCTAAAAAAGATAAATTTCGACACGTTATAAGACGTTTTGATATTATATAATATTTTTAATTTATGTAGTGCATATTATATTTAGTATTCAATAATTTAATAAAAAAATAAAACTAAACTTATAATACCCATCAATTTTGCAAAAAAACATAATATATCCCAAATGTTTATATTAAACTCAATAAAATCGTAATTATAATCTAACGAATCTAATAGTTGAAACTCAAAATGCAACGCAACATAACCTTTGAATCTTTTTTTGAGTTTTTGCAACGAGTATTGAAGTGTTGAAAAATGTCGGAGTGTCGGTGAGTGTCGGACACGATACATCAGGATTTTTGAAGTATCGATACTTTGTAATCTTAGACGCATGTGAACGGAACAAAAACCATTGAAACAATAACGCAAGCCTCTTTTACGGAATTGTACAAATAGAACTAGTTTCTATATTTTAAGGTCTTTATTACATAATAATATGACAATAGTGTTTGCTAACTAGCTAAGTGTATTTACAAACACTTGTGCCCTTATCAAAAGTTTAGAGTTTGCTATAGTGTCTTTGTTGAGGCACTATGTATTGGACAAGAGACTAGAGTTTGTAAAATAGTACATTACTCCCATTTAGCTATTTATCATAGTCTGGGGAAATTGATCAGCAGTAGTCCCTTCCCAGCCATGCAATTATATTACAATACATATAACATATTTATGCTGATTCAGCAAAACCAACTCTCATATTGCCATAATCGAACACTGTGTGATAGCGACCCATGAAAATATCCCCCAGAATCCTGTATTTCAGAAGCAACATAAGATGAGTTGAAGTATTGAATCTATTGATACAAGCATAACATTTCTGAAATTTCAAGGAAGATTGATAGAGCACTAGAGCCCACAAGCACTTTATTTCATTTCTTCTCAAAATTGTTACAAGAAAATGGCTTATCCCAGTGAAAGAGATGCACATTTTGTGAGACTAGAGATGTCATACAGATGAGATTCTTCAAATTGTTATTAAGATGACAAACTAATTAAGAGAAAACAGGAATGAGTCATAGTAGCTAGAAGATATTACAAGTAAAAAGAAAAGAAAAAGAGAAAAAGATACGTACCATATAGGTCCACGAGGAGGAGCAATGTCTAGAGCCATAAATCCACTAATACATTGTGCTATGGCTCCTTCTCCCACTTTAAGAATATACTGATTCATGCAACAAACATTCATAAAAAAACATTCATAAGCATATACTGATGTAGCATGCCCTTTTGCAATCTAGCATCTTGATACAACTAATAAGACACACAGACACACACACACACACACACAAATCTATTATGTGCCAAATGCTACACTTTAGAAGTCACTATATACCTGCTCTGGGGAAAGTTCAAACACTTTGTCCCCAATGGTGAATGAAACATTAGGCATCTCAGACAGAGTTTTGCAATCAACTACTGATTCTCCATTTGGACTAGGAAGCCGGTCACAGAGCTGGAGATGCAAAATAGATTTAGAGAATATGAGCTTCCTGAAAGTATATTAAGTATTCTCTGGAAACATGAATGTGAAGAATGGTTTACCGCGTTGGCATATTCTAAGATCTGATCTTCTGTCTCATTTAATCGTAGCTGATTTTTTATCCATACCACAGCCATCTCACAAGCAGTGCATCCAGCATCATTCAAACTATCAGATTTCTTCTCTATGTTTTTATCAACCACACTCTGAATGCCCATACTGCAAGTTATAGAAGAAGAACCAGTGACTATTTTCCTTGTACGCAACAAAGTTGGTTATCCAAATACATAATACGTTCATCAGATCAGACCTTACACCTTGAGTCCCATCAAAAGTACATAAACCAATTTGAGAGCAGATCTGTTGAGGCAAAGCCTATGGAAACAACAGGAAATTTAGGAAGTTGGTTTAGCATGGAAAGTATATGAATATGAAACACATGAATATAGGATTTATAAGTCTCATGACATGTATCACTCAGAGAAAATAAGGAAATAAACCAAAGACTGAACAAGAAACGAAGATAAATAATAACACCTCATTTATCAGCTTATCCAATATGGTTTTTCCATATTGAGCGACCACTGCCTTGCATTCTTGGCTCACAATACCATCCGCTCCAATTGCATGATTGATTTGGGCAATCACAGCCTAAAAGTACAACAGATGAAAGTTGAATCAACAATGCGATAACTATATTCCTACAAATTATTACTGGCGCTCTAACAAGATAAGCAGAGTTGCATAACTTATAATAGTTTTAGAGCACAAAGTTTATTCTAAGCCTGATGTGTTTGGTTTTGTTCAACTCATCAAAGGGATTCTTTTTCATACCGTTGGGCCAGCTAACAAAGAGGTTCCAGAATCAGCAATTGCCGAGCAACCAGCAGCACAAAATCCTGAAAAATGAGAAGTATGCATCTTATAGTTAAGGCCGGACCAGTATCAATGAATAGTTTCCACTCTCAAGAATGCAAAACTACTTTATAGTTAATATAAACTATGTTAATATAGTCATAGATACCAGTTGTTTGGCCATCAAGTAGGACATCTCCCGTATCAAACTGCATTTGAAAGGGAAACAAGTTAGGGAAAAAGTAAAAAGAATGAATTGTATAGCATGTCATTGGTTTCAAACGATTATCTAAGTTTGTTTATGGATAACCTGCCAATAGCCTTTCTGGGTAACTGGAACATATGTGTGCTCACCCTTGTAATGATCTGAATCAACTCCACCAAATACAATCTCACCACCTTCTTCCCCATCAGTATCATTGCGGTTCAACCAGAATGAAAATACTGGTTGTGGTAGAAGATGTTGATTGAGCATATTATACCTATGACAGTCGTCAATCATAAACAAAGCAATTTTTTCAAATTAGAGAGATGCATAGAAAAATCAATAATGAATGTACTAAGATGATAAAAGGGTGTTGTAATTGAATTGTTGAATATGATAATGGGAAATTTCATCATGTATGTTTCAAACCTTAGTCAAATTCTCCATCATATAACAGAAAGCATCGATCAACTTACCAGATAGGAGCAGCATTTCGAACAGATATCTCTTGAAATCCTAACCCCAGAATGCCATCAAATTTGGCTGCCAAAAATGTGATGCTAGGTTCTCTGGTTGCCTCAATAAAATCCTAAAGCCAGGTAGATATAATAAAGACAGACTTATGGAACATTATTAAATTGAAGAATACAAAAGTACCCACTGAGCAAACTTACCTGGTTAGAAACAATCAAATCTCCAAGCTTGACATGGTCCTGGCTAAAGAAACCTGAAATTTGCCCAGTTCCATAATGGATTTCAGCTGATGTCCCTGCATAAAAAAATCAAAAGAAGACATATTTCAAAACATCATCATACATACACCTGAAGTAAGAAGATCAATAAACTGAACTAAGAACTAGTTGAGCTTGTCAAAATTTATTTGGTAGAAAATAGCTACTGAACTATGCTAAGCATTAAGTGTAGCTTGTTTCCAGTAAAATCGATATTTTAAGCAAATATTCTTTTGCACTCACATGCAAAAGCAATTAACAGGTAATAATATTTTATTTGCAAATGTACATAATAGTTCTGCATTATTTCTAATTTTAATGAATAAAGTACCTTGATACTCAAAAATAGAAGATTATGAATCTAACATTACACAAATGAACGGATAATAATAACATGAATAACTGTATCTATTATCTAAAATCTATATTTTCTTGTCTTTCTCTTTGTTTCTAATACAAATAATAATAACAATAACTACATCTTTTTGTTTTGGAAGAAGGGGAGGGATCAACTTACACTAATATAAGAATAAAAACTCTTACACCCATTATTAACCGTTGATTCTAATTGCACTGAACTCTATCTCTAATATGTAAGGACAAAGGAGAAGTAGAGAAAAAAAGCACATGGTAAGTTTCGAAACGGAAATTTAAGAGAAGTAAGTTCCCTAAACCAAGAATGAGAGTTGTACCATTTTCATTGTAAGTGCTAGACTCGCTTGACTTGTATCTCGAGTGCAAATAACAAGCAACCTGCACACAACATGGAATTACAGCTTTTCTTCTTTCCACCCAAATGAAACAAACACTACATTTTGGAAAACTTTTACCAAATATGAACAATGAAAGAGATTATGGAGACTTACTGAAAAATAACACTTAGAGGAAGGCACCCAAAGATTGGAACTTCCAGTGTCAAATATGACAGTAAATTTCTGAGAAGGAGTCCCAATACCAATCTCACCAACATACTGAGCATCCATATAGTTTTTCAACCGAATAATACTTGTGTCATCAGAAATTTCAGAGCCACCAAGAAGCATGGAATCTCCCAATGTTGCCCCTTCCTCAGAACCAATATGTCTTGTGAGCATGTTGCTTTGATCAAATTTGTTCTTTTTCAACCCAACTCTGATAATCCCATTAGAAGGTCCAGAGAGAACAACCGGGTGGAGAAGTAACAAGAGAAGAACAACCAAAAAACTACATTTGGAATCCATTGAGGGCTGTGGAGTTGATAATGCATATTCTAATCAGAAATCAATCTCAGTTATAACTTACTATGTGTCATGATTATTTTTTCTTTTTCCAATATGCGGTGAAACATGCAATTTGTAGCAACTAGCAAGAGAGGAAATTTTTGTTTCCATAATACGTAATCAGTTTGCATTCTTTCTTAGGTGGATCAATTATGTCAATGTACCAACTAAACCATTCCCACAAATTCAAAGCTCTTTTAGTTATCAGCTATGAAGCACCGACTCCGACACGGCGTTTTCAATATGTTCCCGATACGTTTTCGATACGACCGTTAATTTGCGATACGATGCAATATGTTTCCGATAGGTTTCCGTATCGGATACGTTGGAAAAAAAATTGGGAGTATCAGTGCTTCATAGGTTATCACGCAGAAGCCACAAGACTAAGCATAACTAAGATTTGTGTGTGACTACGTTCTTATCCACATAGTACATACTTAGTTTTCATTTTCAGTTTCCTTTTAGGTTCTTTACTATAAAAAATTAAAAAAAAAAAAAACAAAAAAAACAAAAAACCCCCTCCTTTCTCTGCCTTGCAAACAACTAAAGCGGGACAGTAATTATCACATACACTTCCATAATATAATTACAATAAAATGAGAAAGAAGAACTTGAGTCACCCACCTGAGCAGAGTCAGACACACTCAAAGAGCTACGAGCAAATGAGAGTAACAAGGTAACAGAGTGATATCTCTCTGTGCTTGAAAATAAAATTTAACAAGCAAACTGGTTCATTCCACATTCCCACCATCAACTACCAGTCCCATATGGCCCAACTACCGTTCAATGTTGCTTTCAGTATGATCATGGAAGGAATACTCTTCCAAAAATCTATCATTTTCTCTTCATGTCACCTAACAAATTTTTTAAAAGAGAGATAAAAAAATAATTTTAATATTAATACGGCAAAAGTGTGTATCATTTTAAAGGACGTAAAATTGTGTCATTTTAAGTGAGAGAAAGAGATAGATAAAGGAGGAGAAAGAATGTACAAAAAAATATAAAGTTGTGGGTCCCACCTCTTTCTGAGAGTGAAAGAATATAAATTGTGTCATTTAAAAGGACAAATATTTTTCCCGCCGTTGCACTAGTTTCACTAAACATTTATTCCTATTGGGGCCTTGTGAGTCGAGTCACCAACGTAGGCTTTGTCCTTCTTACCCAACATAAGCCCAAAGCTTAGAAGCAACAATGTATAAGTACTAGTACCTCGGATAATTTTGTACCCAACATAATTTTGTTTTTCTGATAATATTTTTCATGTTTTATTTCTAATAACGGTATTGTGTTTATTAAGGATATTTTATTATATTTTATATAATAAAATCATTTTCAACATTCAATAGGTTAAGTAAAACGAGTCATAATCACGATAGTCATTATATCTCTTAAGTTTGAGATCACTGAAATCATGCTATACATACGGTAATCAAACGGGTACAAGTTGAATCATGAAATTATGTAATATCTGAGATTCCAGAAATTACCTGAGTAGCTGAAATGATATTGTATATTATCAGCTTTTTCCCATGATAATAATTAAAGGAAAAATGTTTCTCTTGTACATAACATTATTTTCAGCCCCCAAAATAACGTTATTTTTGGATTTAGAAAAGAGAATGCAGGATCTTTTAGAAAATTTATTTTCCTCTTCTATCATAAATTTTAATAAAATATCCTATATTTTTTTCCCTAAATCCTGAAATGATATCATTTTAAGATTGCAAGAAATAACTTTATTTTTTATTGCAAAAGAAATGTTAATCCTAAAAATTAAGCATTTGATAGTGTATGAAGTTATTAGTTATTTTATATTATTAGGCTTTAGGCCACTTGGGGTGCATCATCTTGTAACATACAAATTACATTTTCATTCTTATTGATTTTACTTGTAACTATTCCTGTGATTAACAAATTAGAATGATTAATTACAAATAAATCAACGATAAAATTAAGTATAAGACTTATTATATTCATACACTCATGTAAAATGATCTCGCCCCATACCACTCAAGTTTTGTGTTTTATGTTATCTATGTGTGTCAAACCTGGCCTTATCTTTAGACTCATTTTATGGGTGCTCTTGGTCACATGCTTATATCAAACAGATAACCTTTTTATAGAGCTAATTGTTGTAAATTTAAGTTATAATGATGAGTTAACACTGATCTGATCTTGTATTTATTATTATTATTATTATTATTATTATAATTTGGTATAAATATCACTCTAAATTTAATTAAAAAACCAATAAGTATAAGTGTGTGATCCTACACAAAAATCAATATTTAAGAAGAATCTTGATTTAAAAATGCGAATATAAAATGATGTCTATAAATCACTTTCCATCTAAGAACAAGCGATCATGGAAGGCTGATATCATCGATATATAATCCATTTAAGAGTTCACATAGACCCAATTCAATTCTCGATTTAATCAAGCAATTTTTCATAGTGGATGCATGCAGTTAGCGTGATAAACCAAACTTTTATTGAACGATCATGTAGGGCTCGTGCATGAAGAGAATTATAATCTTTGATCATGATTGCAGAAAACTTTGAAGAGCAATATCATTCCTACTTTTGATGCTGAGTAACATATGAGTCAGAAGCACGGGAATAGTCAATTAGCCTGACTTTTTAAGAATTATAGCCTATTACTTATTTGAGCTCTCAAATTACTAGTGAAGGCATGCAGCAAATAAATGATGAAACCCACAAGCCACGACCAACCATTCAAGACTTTCCCAGACAAATGCTAACTTAAGAGTTTACACTAGTTATGAATTGTGACAGAAAAGCTACCCAAATGCAAAAATACCAGCTACCCTTTTCCTTTACTATTGTGGATTATGGCAATGTTTAGGCTTTGGCATGTGTTACTTGTAACAACACAGTTAGCTACACAAAAGATGTTATTTGGTTTAAAGTTTCTTGTCTTGGATATAGCAAGAATTGAAATTAAGTTTCACCTTATTATGAGAGAGCTGAGACCTAGAAATAGTTACCAATAAAATTGTACAAAGATATATTTCAATAACATTATTTGGGGAAGGTTATATTTGCAAATTACACTATGTCTCACCGGTAAGACACTTTTGAGTGAAGCCTGACCGGCCAGACACAGTGTAATTTGTAAGTTTGTCAATATAATCCTTCTCGTATTATTTTACCAAAAAAAATTTCAGCAAATTATTTTCATTATAATTGGGGCGGCACAGGTTGAGATACTAAGAATGTTAAATCATATCACCATAAGTTGATTACTGTTCAAGAAAAACTAAAAAACCTTTGACCATTGTGCTCTATTTTAGGTAAAACAAACAATTCATTAAATTTAAGAGCTACAATCACTGATGAAACTTGAAGAGCATTAACTATACTTGGACAACTAGACAGGTCATGAAAGATTTTGCAGAATCACTGTGTGTCCTTCACATGCATTCGCAGCCAATAGAAGGTTTGAGGGATAACATTAAGTAGTTGATTGTTTATCTTTATATATGGTCAAGCACGGGTTAAAGATTACCTGCCAAGTGGGCTTGAAATGGCAAAAGACAACTTGAACATGTCCCCTCTCTATGATCCTTTTCTCATACAATTTTAATTTCTTTTGCACGTGTCTCAGGAGTGACTTCCTCTTTTAACCACTCAGACGGTTTTCTTGACTCCTTTTTTCTTTGCCTATTGCCATTTGGTACACGTAACTGTTACTAACTCTCTTCTTTTATCTTCTTTCTTGTTCTTTTTCTCTTTCATGATTTAGCTTCTTCCATGACAATGAGAAAATGACAAAGCACATCGATCAATACAACATTCAAGAGAAACTAACATGCTTTCATTTGTATATAACTTTTTTTTTTTCTTAAAAAAAATTTGACTTTTGTTGTTTTATTTGACATACTATACTGAGACATAACAAAGAATATCAACTATATGCTGATAAAAATATTTCCTGAGTCGAACAAATTGAAAAAAAAAAAAAAAAAGTAATCAGCTCAACTTATTTTTTGAGCCCAATAGAAGGGGAAAAAATTAATTAAAAAAAAAAAAATTGAAAGGTAATAATATGTGAACTAGCTAGTTCCCTGAGAAATTCGAATTGTTGATTTTATTGCTTCCATTGCTATTGTTGTTGCTTGATGTAACATTGCCATTGCTGTTGTTGGTTGTAGTGTTGCCATTATTATTGGTACTGTTATTGTTGTTTGGCTGTGAACCTCCAATAATGGAAGTGATAGCTGCTGCTAAAGCTGCAGTGAAGTTGGGGTCAGCTGCAATGGCAGCAGTGGCAGCACTAACTGTGTCAGCAAGGTGTAATGGTGGCTGTTGAGATTGATTACCCAATTGGGAAGAAGGTTCTGCATCTTGAGACATTTGAAGCCCTGAAAACTTTGACTGATTGTACAGTGCTTGACCAAATATCTGAGGCAGTAATGAGGCTGTGGAATTGTCAAAATTCTGAGGGACACCTGGGAAGGGGATTTGGAATTGGCTTGGAGGCTTTTGGAACTGTAATGGGTTTGGAGATTGAGTCAAGTCCAATGTAACTGTTGGGAATGGAGCTGATGCTGAGATAGTTGCCATGCTTGAAGAACAAGGAAGGAGTGTCCTTGCCAAGAAGTTTGCATTCATTAGGCCATCAGTGCTTGACATTGATCCTGAAAGCAACATTCTTGCAGCTGAGGAAGTGGTTTGTGACATTGCCATAGCCGCTGGAGGCAAAGGATGATTGTGATTTCCTTCATATGTTGTGATAAGTATTGTTCGGTCTTCAGCACACCTTTGTACCTGTTTTACTCATGTCTCAGATATTTTTACTAAGAAAATAAACCATTTTGCTACTGAAGAATGAAACATGAGCCATAATTCAAGCTCATTATAATTCGTACTACAAAGACATGAGATATGATATGCAACTTTATGTACTATTATTAGTTTATTTGAGGCCTTAAATAAGGTTAATGGCAGAGAGAATTTTATAGAATACAGAAGTTAAAACAGGAAAATGAAGTTTGAGAATGGACATCACATACTTGTTTTCTCACTGGGCAACCGGTGGCCATGGTGCATCTGTAATATGCTCGAGGACATGGGTTTCCTTTGGCCATTTTCTGCCCATACTTTCTCCATTGACACCCATCAGTGATCTGAGACAATGAACAACTTAGTATAAGGTGAAAGGAAAATAAAGAAGATATATATATAAAAACAATATCTCCTTAGAAAATTGTGACATTGAAGTATTATGTGATGTACCAGGGGTGCCTCTGATCTAGCTCTAACCGAAACTCTTGCCTTCCTCATGGTGGCTTCAGCTTGATCAACATTTCTAGGAGGACTAAATTTTGGAACATTATTAGCAGCTAAACCTTGATCTGCTGGGGGACTATCCTCTCTTTCAACTCCCCTACCAAACTCCTTCTTGTTTTGATCAAACACAACTAATTCATCACTAGCATTCCCATTCTTTCTTGTGCCAATTTCCTTTGAACCTTCCTCTATGTTATTTGTAGGTGACTTAGACCGATCCCTACTTCTTCCAACTGATGAAGAAAGCGAAGGTTCATCAGTGTCAGCATTAGTAGCCAATCCAAGATCCATAAACTGCCTTGGAACCAAAGCTCCACCATTCCCAGTTTGTTTCTCCTCTTCTACTTTTACATCAAACACTTGCTGTTGTTCTTCACCCTCCTCAACCTTCTGGTCCTGCATCAAATTCACCAAATGCCTATGCAAGGCATTGTAATTGCTATTAACCTGATCAAGCATGTTCCTCAGCCGATGATTCTCAACCTTCACCCGCTCAAGTTCAGCTTGAAGAACAACCAGCTGAAAAAGTAGATAGCAGAAATCAAACAAAACACATAACGCATGAATGCTCAATCATATAACATATAAAGAGAACCACTCAATGATAATAGAACATTAGAATTTCATCAAATAACTGAATTTTCTGTTGCATATAATTTCCTTTACCTCACTCTTAGCTCTTTTGTCTTCTGAATTAGGTGATATCTCATCATCCACCATGGATTGCTCACTGCTAGTATTGGTGGTAAGAAGATTCAGACCAGTCTATTAAAAGAATCACAGATTCATGAGCACACCAAAGATCACACACACACACACACACACACACATATATATATATATTAAATAATAAATGGTGAATGATAGAAAACAAAACAATTAGGAAGAAGGGTCACTCACGTTTACTTTCAATTCTAAGATATCAGGAGGAGTGGAGGAATGATCATGTGAGTGGTGTTGGGGAGGTGCAGAGGTAGAGGCAGAGGCAAGGTTGTCATCTTTGTTGTTCTTGTCAGAGAAGAAGTCCATGACATCTAAGAGGGGTCTCTTATCATCATCATCAGAGGGTGGAGGAGAGGGATGGTTGACTTGAAAGGGGATGGTGGAATTACTGCTAGGAGTGGATGTGGTTCTAACTGTGGTATCCATGTTAGGACTAAGTTTCCACTTGTGTTGGTTGGTGTTATTGTTGTTGTTGTCTTCAGGAAAAGAGTTGAGAACTATTGGCTTGTGGTGGAAGAAGCTCTTTATTGGATCTGAATCAATGGAGAGTCCACCCCCTCTGGCCATCAATTTCAATGGAATAGGAGAGAGAGAGACAGATGGAGGACTAGAGGGAAAGAGAGAGAAAGAGAAAGAGAGGGAGTTAAGTCATAGTAAATGATGCAATTGGACTCGGCAATAAAAGAGGAGAGGAGTTGAGACTTGGAAGAAGACCAAAAGTGAAGAAGTATAAGTGTTCTTAATGTTTGCGTTGAATATTATTGTATTATATTTGGTTTTCTAATGCAATGAAATATATAATACTACCTTTTAAAAATGATAAGTTTTATGGGAATAATATCTGTCATTTCAAAGGATAGAAGCTTATTCATTTTAGATCCTAATCGTTGATTTCTGTCCAGTAACGGTATCGTTTTGAGGCAGTATAAGTTTGCTTTTTCTATAGTCAATGTATATAACTTATCTACATTGACCTAAAACGATGTCGTTTTGACCCAGAAATCAAGGTATTTTTTAATTATAATTTATTCCATGGTTATAATAGTCTTTTTTATTATATTTTCTTAATTTTTCAACGCAATACGACGTCGGTTTGGGAGCGAATGTAGATAACTTATCTACATTCACTGTTGAAACATTAAAGCCTTTATTTATTTTTATTATCAGAATTATGTTATATAGGTTTGAAAATGGGGATGGTATTAAATGGCAGAAAGTTTGACCTGTTCTATGTTCTTACTGATGCGGGGATCGATTGCAGTTTGCACGTCCTTAATTATTGTGTTTTTTTTTAATGGAATTATTAAAAATATATGAAAATGCCTTTTAAAAAGAAAATTACCAATTCTCACGAAACAGTTTCTACGAATGAGTTGTGATGTTTGACAAATAATTTCTTTTTTGTTAAACAAATTATGCAAAATAAGAGAAAGTAAATCATGCAAGTAATTGTTTACCAAAATAAAAATAAAAATAAAAATAAAAAAACCATGCAAGTAATTTATGGTTGATTTCGGTAAAAACATTCCTGAAACATCGCACCAATATGAAAAGAAACCTTTGTTAAATAATCCTCATAACTCCACAATTAACATATGTTGATATATAGGTCAGCTTCCACGTTGTTGATGATTTAAGAAAAAACATAATGGCATCCTCACAAATTTCGATATTTTTGTGGACTAAATTTTATGGGGAAAACTCAAAAGCAGAGGGACTTTTCTTCTTTTGTTTTAATGATTAATTAAGAAGCTTCAATAAAAATAAAATTTTGTTGAGCTTTGTTTATATTGTGTACTCACATATTTTTATTAATTTAAATTTGATGCATAGTTATTGTTGTTTTATATAGTATCATACGGGGAAGTTAATAAAAAAGTTATAAGAATTTAAAAAAAAAAGTAACAAATATTATTTCCAAGTTATTGTAACTTTATAAATATTTTTTTTATACAATGGCAGGAACTTTATAAATAGTTAAAGCTACGGTTATTTTGACTTAAAAATTTTCATTAACTTTTTAAAAAATATATACAGCTATAATTTTATCCAAAACAGTTACTTAAAATTAGAAGAGGACGAAAAATTGTAAAACGTAAAATCCTAACTTAAAAAAAAAATCATAAAAAATCGTAACATCATAACAACATTTGAAATTTTGATGAAATTGTTTTGATTAAAAAATTATAAATTATAAATATAAATCTCAATTTTAACTACTGTGATCACGCCGATGTATTTAAAATAGCCGCTATCTTCTGAGAATTTATAATAGGGCGTTGCTTTTCTACTGTTATTGAAGAAAACAAAATTTTCTTTCAGACTCAAACATCAAACGAACCCACCATTTCAGAAGTTTAAAAAATAAAAATAAACTCTGCACAAACTCCTATGAGTCTATAGCAGAAGAATTATTCTTCTGTGACATAAGAATTATTTTTCCCTTTATAATATATACATGATTACATAATAATATAAAATTTAAATCAAAATAAACTCTAATTTTATGAGCATTGGTGCTGAAAGTCAATTTGGATAGTAAAAAGTTGGAAGGGAGAGAAGGATAGGATTGATGAAGGAAGGAGAAGGCAGAGATGAAAGCAAAAATGATATTTAATATTAAAAAAAGTGCAGTCTCAGTCAGCGATTTTGACTGAGTTGGTGTAGCTCATTACGAGCGGGACCCACTTTGACACGTAGGATAGCTGGTTTCGGATTGAGGAGAACGGGTTGACCCACTCGACAATGGATTCCTTTCGTGCTTCGTTCATATTTGTCAAGTTTGCTGCATATAAATTAGGGGAGATATTTTTTAGTAATGTTTGGTTAAGTTTTTATTTTTAGATTTCCATTTATTTGATATTGGCGTTTTATGTTGTCTTCGTTTGGTAGAAGAAATATAAAAATTTATCCATCAAAATATTTTCTCCAACATTTCTGAAATGCATGCAAAAAGGGAAATGTTGCTCTATTGAAGCTTACCATTTGCGAAGTGGTATTTGTAGAAAAGTAAGGAAATGAAAAAAGTTGAACGAAGAAGTGAGGAAAGAGATATTATCTAACCTAATTTTTTGATAAAATTTCGTCCAACCAAACAATTTTTTTACCAAACTCATTTTTCTATAGTATTCTTGGACATGAGATTTACCTAATAAAAAAATATCTCATCTACCAAACATTAAGAGAAAAGTGTGTATCATTTTAAAGGATATGAAGTTGTGTCATTTTAAGTGAGAGAAAGAGATAGATCATGGAGGAGAGAAAGTGAACAAAAAAATAAAGGTGTGGGTCTCACTTTTTTGTGAGAGTGAAATGACATGAGTTGTGTCATTTAAAAGGATAAACATTTTTCCCATCTTTTAATTCCGGTGTAAAATTTAGAAATTTTATTCTCTGTCTTAACCGTTGATTTTCGTCCATCTAACGATTATAATTTATTGAGTTATGTTAATTAATTAATTATTAATTTCAAATAAATTATAATCATTAGATGGACGGAAATCAATGACTAAGATGGGAAGTAAAATTTTTAACTCTTACACTAGAGTCAAAAGATCTCGTATCTATAAAAATATTTATGGGTTTAATGTTAAGTATTATAAGAAATAAAATTAGTTTATACACATAAAAACATATGAGACGCATTACACAAGTGAAGCTACGTGAAGAGAGAGAGAAAAAGAAAATATAAGTCATATATATATATATATATATATATATATATGAGATTATTTTTATGAGTTAGGATATTCTTACTATAAATTTTTTTTACTATCATTTCATTACCACTCTAATTACCATTAGATTAGAGGAAAAGTTGAATGAAGAGAGAGAAAAGAAAAGAAAACTTTTGAATCCAATGGTGTAAAGTGGTAGTGAAATGGTAGTAGAAAAGATTAGTAGTGAGAATATCTTATCTCTATTTTTATGAGATATTTTTATCTCCTACAATATAATAAACATTAAAACCAGTATTTATTGTGTTTAAGTATTTTTATTCTGGTCACACTCACGCTCTCATTTTCGCTTTAATTTTTTCTGTTATACCATTCCTCTCACTTTTTCCCTTCTTCTGCCTCGCTTCACAGCCAAATCTTTCCACAACACCACGCAAAAATTTGAATTTTTATTTTCAATAAAAATTTGCGCTTATTTTAAAGGATTTATTTTTTTCTGCAGTTAATATAAATAATTTATCTACATTGAACTCAAAATAACGTTGTCTTGAGACAAAAATTAAGGTTTATTTGTAATTATAATTTATTTCAAGATTATAATAATTTTTCCTATTATAATTTTAATTTTTCAACACACAATAACGTCGTTTTGGGAGTAACCATTGAGTTTTATGGTAGCGAACTCAATAAAGTCGGTTATAGTGATTCCACTACTGTAAAAATATAAATAACTTATCTACGTTAGAAACATTAAAGTCTATTTTAAATTGTATAATATATATCTCAATCAACTGTTTTTGTTTTATCTTTCAATAGGAACAGATCATTAACATCGGTACTAAAATAAAAAAAATTTAATACTTAGTTAAATAGTTAAATTTTATTAATTTGACGACTATAATTTATTATATTATATCTATTTAACCAATTATTAATTTTCGTTGGTTGCATGTACGTACACCACCCCACCACCAAATTTCGCGAAGGAACTAACGTGGTGTTAAGCGTATTAAAGAACACTATTAGCTCGTCTTGTACTGAACAAGAATCATCCTTTAAAACAATGTGGTAGTCAAAATATTGGATAACAATCCTTGAAACAGTAAAATAACTACAGAGATTTGGCATATTTAATTCGCACAAAAACAAAAAAATCTTAATCAACAAGGAAATTGGTTATTATCACAGCAATAACATCATTAGAAACCTGAATGATAAAAATACAACCAATTAATGTATAGTAGGTCATCAGTTATCTCTATTCTCTAGAAAATATTAACTTGTGCAGAGGAGAAGATTATGCGTTTTTTTTTCAAGAACCCTAAAAATGGGAAATAAAAAAAACGCAGTTCAAGCGAATTACAAACCATTAAATTGAATACCAAATAAAATATATATATTTTCTTTTACAAAAAATTCCAGATTAGAAATTTTCGCAAAATAATGATATGTAAACGTAAAACCGTTGCCGCAAGACTATGGCTCTGTTTAAATACTGTTTTCAAAAACAGTTTTTTGGTTTTTAGAACAAAAAAACTCGTTTGGTAAAGTCTGTTTTGTAAAAAAAAATTTAAAAATTGTAACTGTTTTTTGTTTTTAGAATCAGATTTAGAGAACATGTCTGAGTTGTTTTTGTTTTTTGTTTTAGTTTTTAACTTTCAAAACAAAAAAAAAATAGAAAATAACTGTTTCCATAATTATTCTACAAAAAAGTTTTAAGAACAAAAAAATCAAAACACAAGCAAACAGACCCTATGACGTTGAGTATTTATTATTCTCTTTTTCTCTCTCATCCTTCCTTTCATTTTTATATATATATATATATATATATATATATATATATATATATATATATATTTGGATCAGGATCATTTTACACCAGTATAAGTTACACTCTTAATCTTGTCCGTTGATCCCATTTATATCTAAGGGCTCTAATTTTTTAGTAATATGAGTCATTTGATACAAGTGGATCAATGGTCAAGATTAAGTGTAAGACTTCTAACTCTTAC